TTGAATCGGCTGTATTTTATTTTAAAATAAATTAATTAGATTTAGTTCAATTTAATTAGTTTTATAGATGTTATACTTAAATAATTTCATTCATGCAACAATGGTTTGGCATGTATCAAAGACATTAGCTTCCATTTTATGATTTCTATACGATTATCTCTGGCATTCTGTCCTTTTCTTGTTTAAAGTATACACACCCACACTTGGCAACAGTCAGTTGTTATTTTGTAGCTAGTTTGTTATTTTATTGAAAGTGTTGATCACAGATTCATTGTCAGAAAGGCACTACATTGATTTAAAAGAATGAACTCATTTATAGCAAGTCCACAAATCAAACAGGAAAACACTGAAGTTTTACTTTTCCAGGTTTGAGACAAGTACTTTATCTTAATCATAATTTCAACTAATCATATCTTAATTTTACACCAAGGCATCCTAGTAAAATGACTCCCACAATATTTCCTCTTTAAGTTGACACAAACCTAAATAGTATGTATGAATGCTAAATCCTTTTGTGTCAAGGTTCAACTTCATGAGATGCTACAGTCTCCGGATAATTTAACTGTGGTAACGAACCTGGTACATCGATAGTGGAGTTTCAACACATTCTGTTATAATCATTCATGCTGCTATTTCTGAGGTCCTTCCTTTTATAGTACAGGTCAAAGGTTCAAACCATTCACTAACAAGTGAGTCACATCAAACTATAAAAATTTTCATAATCTCAACTATCTATATAATAGCTTACAGTAGCTGTCATCAGACCAATATTTTCAAAGAACTTTAGAAACCTAGTATTCTTGTTTCTAATCTAATCCATTTAATGACTGACCTATTATTATAGTCTTCAGCAGAAGAAACTGGACGTTGGACTAAGGACCATTCAATTTGTTGCATGTTGTCAATATCAAACCACTTCTTTTGCTGACTTGATTGAATTTCCTGATGACCAGGTTATCCACAATCACTAAATACAGCATTATTTCAGGGATTATGTTCTAAATTATGCATTATATACCACTTCCCACAGATTACAAGCTCAAAATGACACTGAAGTGTTGACCAAAATAATCAGTTACTGGAATTCCCAGGCACTAGCTGACAGATTCATATAGGTTTAATTGTCTAACATATAAACTGATTTGGCAATTGGCCCATTCAGGTTAATGGGGTCTTTATCTAACCTCTTACAACACTGTTCTCTTTTCAAACCATATTTCTTTGTTCTGGGATACTTTTGACATACACATAAATTTATGTACTGCGTCAAGTTAAGCATTTGTAGTCTCTTAAGTTGTGAGCTTAATATGCGAGGTTTCAAAAGAATCTAAACTTCATGTCTTTTTATGACAGCACCTTGTACCTTTTTTTTTAATTATGTTGATGCTGAAATCCATAAAATTTTATACAGTTCTCTACATATTATTGGTATTTTCGATGACGAGGAACCCACTTTGAGACTAATAATGGCTGGAGACGGCTTGAATGGGTAA